GGGCAATAAAATACTAATGTGCCCTTATCTTTAAAAGCAATAGAGGCACTATAAACACTCAGCACACCCGAACCTGCAGCCGCACCTGGGCCAAGGGCTGCAACCTCCTCAGATGGTGGTGAGAAACGTGCAGAAAGTCCCAACTGCTTCTTCTGTCACCCCCCCCATGGCACCCAGCAGTGCCCAGCTGCTGCCCCATGAGAGCAGAGCCTCTTCCCTGGCAGAGCACTGGGGAGGGATGCCCAGGGTTGGGGTGAGGGCAAAAGGACACAGGTTTGTCCCAGACCCAGCCAGATCCCACACCTCCTGCCTCCCTGGAAGGTGAGCAGAGCTCGGCACCTCCTGGTATCCCCCACCTGCCTCTCGCTCCTGCCCTTAGCACAGGATCTGAAGCGGCACCAAAAAAATCCATGGAAGCTCCCTGGGGAGTATCAGGCCCGGTGCTGGGAGAGCCCGTCTCTGCCCGCATCCCCCAGGAAGCACTCCGATAGCAGAGGCAGGAGGGGAAAGAAAACTCAGGCCAAGTTCCTGATGGGCTGAGGCACTTGGAAAGAGCCTCCACATTCCTCCACCCAGCCACGGCACTCTCCCAGTTGCCTCCCACACTGTGCTGGAGCCTCCCAGTCCCTTGGCAAGCCAAGTCTGGAGTGGAAGAGGACAAATTCTTCCCACCTGCCTTTTCAGGAGCAGCAGAGGATGCACTATGGAGAGGGGCTGCTCCCGGGCACTTCAAATCCTGACTCCCAGGCTGGGCTAAGCAACAGCTCAACTCATGGACTGTGCTGGTGGGAATGGGAGATGCATTCTCTGCTCCAGCCATGCCCCAGGTCCCACCTGATGGCCCCACTGGTGGCCACACGGTTTCACTTCAGTGCATCTATGATGCTTGGCTTTTTTTTACCTCCAAAGGCTTCTTGTCCTCCCAAAGCCTTGGGGGTGGTCCTGCCTGGAGTCACACAGCCGGGACACTGCCGTGAGACCGTTGGTGGCCAGTTCTTCTGGTTTTAAGGGGAGACGTTGCAATGGAGGTGAGGGGTAGTGAGAAACCAGCTCCTCTTTGGAAAACACCTTCAGCTGGAGGAAAAGCCTGTCCACAAACACACAGCTTTCCGTAGCCTCCTGGAAGAGAGTTGTTTAAAGGCCCTTTAAAGGGTATTGTGGTCTTTAAAGAAAGATATGAGGGAAACAGGTCAGAATGAACTCCGTGGCACCGCAGGGGACAGAGACCTTTGGGTGCACCAGAGATTACTAGAAAGCACCTTCCTGGCTGGGATTTCCACACAGCTCAGAAATCTATCAGGAGAGTTATAAAAGGTGTTTATCTCGGAAACTCATGATACCTGTGAAGAGGACACGGATGTTTGATTTTCCAGGCATTACATTAGCATCACAATCAGATTTTTCCGTAATTTGAGTCAGAAAAGCTTCAGGTTAGCAAATTCAGCAAACCTAGAATACATCTGTAGCAGCAAGAGCAGGCTTTATCGGTAGAATCTACACCCAATTCAGTGAGTGAAATAAGCTTTATCAGCAAGACACACTCTTGGAGTGGTGTAAGCATAAGCTCTTCCAGGGATTTTACAGAAGTATTGGTGAAAACAGACTCCCATCTCTAGCCAAAATGTGCCCTGGAGAACTGGCCTAGAGAACTGAGGAGAAATTGTCCGGCACCCTCGGCATCTCCACCGCCGAGTGATGGTTGAGCAGCACTGTGCTGCACAGAAGAAGTGAAGACCAGAGGATCCCAAACACCTTCACATGGACAAACTGAG